GGGGGAAGAACTCGTCTCCAAAATCTGAGAGCAAGTTCTTTAACACTCGGTAGACCTCTTGAGTGGTGGTAAAGAGAAAGAAGTTCTCTTGCCCTTGACGAGGAGACAACTCCAAACCTTGTTTTCTCCAAAATTTGAAAATTGTTCCAGATTTAAGGCTAAAATCTGAGACAAATTCTCAGCTTTTAGAAGACTCGGATGTGGAGAAAATTGAAGGAAAAGTTAGCAAAACAAAATCCTGAAGGGTGGAGGGAAAATCCAGTAATGTAGCTGGGTTTGGAAAATGTGTTTAATGGGAAAGGGTGGGAACGGGTAACAAGAAAGAATTTCTCCTAAATTCCTTTTCAAAATTCTGAAGATAACTTCAGATTTTGGAGCCAAAATAGAGAAAGCAATCCGGAACCAGATTTTGGAATTATTGCTGGCAGGATTGAGGGGCTGAGGTGGGATTTAATTCCTAATTCCCTTTATTGATTTAGGAATTAATTTAGGAAGTAAAGTTCTGGAGGAATTCGGCTAAGAGGGGGTGAGGTTTCAAATTGTTTCCAAAAGGGTGGGGTGGGGGTTTTAGGAATTAATTCCTTTAGGAATTATTTCCTAGGCCGGCAGCTAATGAAGCCAAGGAGGGATTTAATGTATTTAAATTGGGGATGCTTGATTTGGGTTTAGAATTTAGGAAAGAAATAAATTGAATCCTTTTTTAATTTGAAATTCAAATCGGATTTAAAATGGAAACTTTCCAAAAATAGCTTTCATAAATTAGAAAAGATTTCAAATTTCAAAATACATGATTTTGAGTTTGAAATCAACCCAAAATATGAACACCCAAATTAGGCAAGGATTTCAATGGGGAGAAGGAGGTGGAAGGTGGCCGGCGGCTAGAGCTTGGGCTGGTGGTATGAGGGGTTGGGTGGAGTGTCAGCCGTGGGTTGAGGAGGTGGAGCTAGGGAGAATACTTGGGTGGATGAAGAGGGGAGGAAGGAGATGAACAAGAATATACAAGAAAAATAGAGATAAATAACGAACTCACAAAGAGATCGTAAGAACCGCGAACCTCAGACTCTTCCAAAGATTGACGGGTATTGCAAGTTATCCTCCTCGGGCTTCTCCTCTAATGAACTCACTAAGAGATCGCATGAACTCACTAAGAGATCAACAAGAACATAAAACTTTTCATTATCAATAACCATCCATTACAATAGCTTAAGGCCCTTATTTATAGGCCCCAATATGAGAGAATTCGAAATTACAAAATTGCCCCTTGGGCCATAACACTCAAACAAACTATCCTAGGGGTAAAACAGGAAATACATTAATTTAGAACTAAAATTCAGAAAAATAAATCATAATAGAAGGTTTAAATGATAGCCGTCGATTTGCGATGCCTCCTGTGATAGATGCGTCAAATCTTCGTACCGATGTCCGCATCACTCTCTAGCTTGACACACTTCTAGCCGCTATGTATCTAATCAACATAATGCCCCCCTCCAACACCTCAAATAAATCCCCCAATCACATTCTCCACAAACAACAACCAACCTAAATTCACCTAAGAGTCTTTGGCTGCGTGTGCTTTCCCCTTCTTCCACCTACAGCCCGCCAAAAACTCTCCATCACCTCCCCATCATCGGTATTCATTGGCTACGCATCCTCCTACAAAGGCTACAAATGCCTTGAACCCACCTCCGGTCACATCTACATCTCACGCCACGTCACCTTTGACAATCTACCTTCCCTTACTCCACCCTTACGCCAACATTATCGTCCCCAACAGCCTCCAATCACCCAAATCCCAACCTGCTCCTTCCAACCTCTCTACCAAGTCCCAACCTCAATCATACATCAATCAGCCAACACTACAAAACAAACCTACATCACCTCTACCTTTACCCAATCACTCCCCTACAAACCTTACTGACCACTCTCCTCCATCCACCATCCCATCCCCTCAACAACTCCCTCACCAACCACATCCAATGTTGACCCGATTCAAAACAGGATCACTCAAACCACGCCAAGTACTCGACCTCCACCACTACGTTTTCCCTACAACAGCAGATCCCACCACATATTTTGAAGCATCCAAACACCCTCACTGGCGTTCTGTCATGGCCACTAAATTCCTTGCCTTACAAAAATAGGACACCTGGACGCTTGTGTCCCCTCCCACCAATCAACCCATACTCGGATGTCGTTGGACATACAAAACTAAATTCAACTCCAACGGCTCAGTTGCTAGCCACAAAGCTAGGCTTGTGGCCCAAGGACACGTACAAGAATAGAGACATAATTACACCGGAGCCTTCAATCCCATTACCAAATTCCCCTCCATCCGTATCTTTCTCATAATTGCATTCACCAACAACTAGCCTATTCATCAACTCGATGTCATTAATGCCTTTCTCCACGGATCAATTCACAAAACCATTCATATGAAGCAACCTCGCGAGTTCGAAGATCAGCAACATCCACACCACGTCTACCTTCTTCGAAAATCCTTATATGGCCTTAAACAGACTCCTTGCCAGTGATTTCACACCTTCTCTAAACACCTCTTCTCAATCGGGTTCACAAACAGCAAGGCAGATCCCTCTTTATTTACATTCTACAAACACACCGTCCAAGTCTACCTGTCCATATATGTCGATGACATCCTACTTTTGACAATCATCCCCCCACTCTACTCAACATAATCTCCTCTCTAAGTTACCACGTCTCCATTAAAAACCTTGGATCCCCTACCGATTTCCTCAAAATTCACATCTCACACCATCGTAATCATCTTCACCTCTCACAGTCATCTTATACCGAATATATACTTCATCAAGCTGCAATGTCAATCTACAGTTCCCTCTGCAACCCTCATTCACCAAACCTCCCACAAACATCCCATCAGACTCTCTCAATTCAGACCCCCACACCTACCGCCAACTCACTACCTCTCTCCAATACCTCACTACTTCTCTCCAATACCTCACCATCACTAGACCTCATTTGTTGTCAACACCCTATGTCAGCACATGCGCAATCCTACTCCCCACCACTTCTACCTTCTCAAATGCTTGGGTATTCCGATCTTCCGCTTCTCTCTACAACTCAAAAGTTACTCGAATGCTAATTGGGCCAACGACATCACCACTAGCCGCTCCACCTCCAGCTATTGCTCCTTCCTCAGTAACACTATCATTTTATGGACAATCAAGAAGAAGCAAACAGTCGCAAGATCATCTACCGAGGCTGAGTACCGTGCGCTAGTCGGTGCCACCGCAAACATCATATGGCTTTATTGCCTCCTCGCAGACTTATGCATCAGCCAGCCGCAACCTATTGAGCTTCACTGCGACAACACCTCTGCAATTGCGCTGGCAAACAACCTCATCTTCCACGCTAGGACGAAGCATATCAAAGTCAACTTCCACTTCATTCGCAACCACATTCAATCCAAAGAAATCGGCGTCATCCCCATCAGTACCAAAGATCAGATTGTTGACATTCTTACGAAGCCCTCACCCACACCACGGTTCCATCTTCTACACTCCAAACTCATTGTTCTCAACTCACCATTCATTTGCAGGGGCATAAAAGCATCCCTCACATGCGAAGAGCAGCAATCAAACAACAGTAAGCAAGTGGAGCAGGAACCCTGACACACCTTATTTTCAAATTGTTTGATGATAATTAACACATTCAATCACTACCCTACATGTGTAAAGCAACACATCACATACATAGTTATAAATATACACCTAAAGCTACAATACCATATGGTATGATGTACAACAAAAACCTTTTTCGCTAAAATGATACAGCAACCTTACAACTTCCTTTCTCCTTGTACTGTTTCTCCTCTCATCTTGTTGTAGAGGAACCAGACACAACTAGTATCCGTTTACACATAGGATTGAAAAATAAGCGCCAATAGAAGTTACTGAATATATCAACCTCAGAAACTAAATTATGTCAATTAGCAAGTTAAGATATTTAAGAAGTAAATGGTATGAGTGACAATATGTTAGTTGGTGTGGAATCTGATTGTGTAGATCAATCGGGTTGTACTGTTGCCTCATACCTCAGTTCAATTTATCGTGTTCACTAGGGGGGGTTACCCCTGCTTGGGTCCGGGTGCAGGGGGTTTACATGAATTTTCCTTTTTTACTTCGGGCAACACCCTGGTGCTACAAAACAGAGAGCAGAGCGCTGCAACGCTATAGATATGATACCATAACGCTATATAGTGCCGCAGTGCTACAGGTTTGAGCATCGCAGCACTGCGAGTTTGAGCACCACAGCATTGTCTGATAGACTGATGATAGAGTTTTGAGCGCCATAGCGCTCCAAACTGGCATCGCAGTGTTGATTGGCATCGCAGTGTTGCGAGATGAGTTGGATAGTTTTCTTTCTCATTTTTATGAAGGGAGACATCCCTTGGTGTTATTAACTTGACTTTCTCTTGTATTGTGAATAGTATGAGAATGGTGTAAGAGAGAAGACAAGCAAGGAGAGAGCGAGAAAGAAGATATATCTATACTTATTTCTCCCCATTTTAATAGTGGATTTCTTGGTGTGATGTGACTCCGTGATTTTTTTCCTGATTTCAGGTTTTTCCATGTTAAATCCTGGTGTCATTTACTTTCTAATGCTTTTACTTTCTTGTTTGTCTCATTACGGTGTTTTATTTCCATCCCCAGCACAATATGCAATTCAAAGCTTGTATGTACATAGCCAAGTAAGCATAATATATCTACAAGATTTAAAAAATTGATGGCAATTATAATAGTTATAGTTGCACATATTAATTTAAGACTAAAATTCCTTTCTGAGCTATCTTTATACAAACATAGAAGCATAGCTTTTCTATTAAAAAAGTTATAATAAACACAAAATACTCATTACATAAAGACAGCAAAGGATCATAGAAGAGCGCTAAATCATAATGGAACTTTTACTCTACAATTACCTGAAGAGATGTGGAATACATAAGAAACGCTAGATGGAAAAACTCATCTAGCTTTTCCTTCCATTTCAGATAGAAGAGTCAATGCCTCTTTATCTAACTTCAAACCAGTCATCTCCACCTCCTTGCATATCTTCCTGCACTTAGCCAACCTCCCTGAAGAAGCATAGGCCTTGATCATGTCTTTATATATATCGTAAGTAGGAGCAAAACCAGCCTCCTTTAATCTCAAAAAATATCGCACAGCCCTATCAAGATCATTCAAAGCAACACACAATCTGATAATGACTCGATAAGCTGGAAGGTCTAAAAGAAAATCCAATCCTTCAATCTCCCAGACTAAGGCCAATCCTTCACTATATTTCTTGCTGCAATACCTGCTATATATCACTGTTGTGTACATAACAATGCTAGGACTCCTTCCTGAATTTCTGAACCAATTAAAGAGACTTTCCACTGTTTCAAATCTCCCAAGCTTAATACAAACCTTCATGATAGATGTAGTATCTTGTGGCTTCAGGTCCAAACTTTCTCTCTCACCAAGCTCATCAAGCAGTGCTAATACAAGCTTGTAGCCATTAGGTGTCTTCCCTGCTTCTAGAATAAGCTTGGCATGAAGACTTGGATCCAGTGTCCTCTTACTATCTCTGGCAAGCACTAAAAGGTGTCGAGCGCGGCTCAAATTTCCTCCTTTTATGAATCCCCTCACCATGGCTTCTACCACGCAACGGCTTGCAGAGTTCAAAAACATCTCAAGTTCAGACTCGATCTTCAGTTCTCCATTCCGAGCCAAAACTTCTATGGTGGAAGAAAGAGTGCGGTCATCAGGAAATAGAAATGGCCGCTGCTTCTGAACCCAGCATAAGGTCTCAAGAGCACGTTTTGGGAGACCCAAATGACCCAATTCTCGAATTGTCATAGACAAAGACCCCTTTCTCAGGAATGGAGCCCATTCGTCGAGTACCTCGGAGGCATCTACTTCTGGTGGAAGAGAAGCAATCTGTCGAGATATATGAATGAGCGCTTCAGGGTTCTTGTAAACTTGATCAGTGAAGGATGACCGCGGGGAGAGGGTTTCACGGGCGGCCAAGCGAATGTGACGCTTTGGAGTGGGAATTTGTTGTAAGCATTTTCGATAAGGTGAAGGAAGGGGAACTGGCCTTTCTCTCGTACGCTTCCCAGCCTTTTCAGGCATTCTTCTTTGAAACAGGGCAGCAATGGCTTCAAGCTCGTCAGGGCTCCATTCTGATTCATCGGCCGTGGCATTGCCAACATTATAAAGATTGGATTTTTCCTCCGTTTCCGTGGGGTTCGAAACATGGGCATCACCAAGCTTTCTATTTTGTAGTGGAAAACGAGTGATGCTAGGACCTAATGGCAATTCGGTGCGGCGAGGGTAGCAGTGATTCTCGGCAGGAAGTTTTGGCTTGGACGAAGAAGCTTGCGAAGCAGTGAGGATGGCAGATGCTTGGAACCTGTTCGTTGAGGCAGACAAGAATGTTGTTTTAGGAATTTGGAGCAATGGATTGAACAAAATTTGCTCCATTTTGTGACGGCCAGTGGATTTTCGGTAGACAAAACGATTCGGGGTTCCAGGGTTTGGTATGAACTACTGGTGCTGATTACGGATATATTGTAAGAATTTCTTAGCTTATTTTTGAAAAACTAAACAAAATTATAATATTTACATTAACTTTCAAAAATCTTGCCTAATTATTCTACAATAATTTCATCAATCTTATATGGCTGCCGATGATCCTAATTAGAGTCATGTATTGAGTACCCATACGTACATCCACATCCACCCATGTTCACACTCATACCCAATAGTTGGGTATGGGTGGATATGAGTACGTCCATAATCTTATGGATGGATATGAGTGAGTGCTCAACACCGCATGCCTCAAATTCTACTTATAATTTGAACTAATTTGATTAGCAATGGAATTGATGTAATGGGAAAAAAAAGGGATTAACATGAATAGTCATATTATGTTTCTTATGTGGTTCATACTAACGGAAAATTTTCCACTAACAACGACATTCGTTGGAAAAGTCATGATTTCTGTTGGAAATTTCTGCATATAATTGTCGATTTTTCTGAGCTTAATTGATTATTATTACCTATAAAATTTTAATTTTTTATGAGTTATTAAAATTTTTGAAAGTTAATATTCTTCTATTATTTTGAGTTAAATTCAAATTGGACACGAGTCATACAAAAACAAATAAATCAAATAAGTACTTGTTATTCATAAATATCTTTGAAGTTGAGCCAAGCTCTAAGGAATAAATTTTCAAAAGAGCCAAACACTGAAAAGCCATGAGCACTAAAAATATTCTCATTTACCATTAAAGCTCTTTGAAACCATTTTGTTATTTGTTGATGCTTAGAGATGTAAATAAACTAAATCAAATTGAGTATTACATCATTCAAGCTCATTTACATATTTTCTTACCAAATTCAAGATGAGTTCAAATGTTATCCAAGTTTTAGATCTTGTTCAAACATATTTATAGGTTTTACTAATATTTTAAACATTGAACATAATTTATAATTGTTGCGTCCTTGAGTATTCGCGGCGGTAGAGAAATATATAGTTTAACGTCTTAGCATTGTACGAAGATCCAGCACACAAACAGATAAAAAGAGAGGGTGTAGCGTTCATAAGAGACACCACAGTTTTTACGTAGAAATCCCTGAAAAGGGGGAAAAACCACGGGGTCTGGCCTAGTTTGAATGAATCCACTAGTATTTGCAGTGGATTACAAATGAGGCCCTTCTTAGGGAGAAGGCCTTGGCTTTATGATACAAATATACATCATATAGAGCGCATTACATAGTGGGAGTTACCATAATCAACATAGATGTGTTTGTTTGGTCAGCACGGCCATAGTCGATAGGATAGAGGTCGAAAAGGCCGTAGTTGGCAAGAGATCGGGATCAGAAAGACCATTGTTTGTTAATGGAGGTCGGAAGGGCAATATTAGGCAACGGAGGTCTGAAGGACCGTAGACGGCAGGAGACTGGGGTCTAAAAGACCGTTATCTGGTGATGGAGTTCAGAATGATCATAGTAAGCGATGAAGGTCTGAAGGACCGTAGTAGGCGACGAAGGTCTGAAGGACCGTGGTCGGCTGGAGACTGGGGTCTGAAAGATCGTTGTCTTGTGATGGAGGTTGGAATGAACATAGTAGGCGACGAAGGTCTGAAGGATCGTAGTCGGCAGGAGACTGAGGTCTGAAAGCCCATTTGTGTGGTGATGGAGGTCGGAAGCACCGTAGTAGGCGATGAAGGTCTGAAGGACCGTAGTCGGCAGTATTCTGGGAGAACGCTGGGCATCAGGTGGTGGCTTGGTGGAGCTCAAGGCCTCAGGTAGTGGTTCGATGGAAGTCTGGGCCTCAGCTGATGTTCTGGTGGAGCACACGGCCTCAAGTGGTGTTCCAGCGGAGGTGATGGCCTCAAGTGGTAGTCCGGTGGAGTAACGACGTCAAACGGTGATCCGGCGGAGGTGAGTGCCTCAAGTGGTGGTCCGGTGGAGCACACGGCGTCAGGCGGTGGTCTGGCGGAGGTGGGGGACTCAAGTGGTGGTCCAGCGGAGCAACGACGTTAGGCGGTAGTCCGGCGGAGGTGAGAGCCTCAAGTGGTGTTCCGGCAGATCAACGACGTCAGGCGGTGGTCTGGAGGAGGTGAGGGCCTCAAGTGGTGGTCCGACAGAGCAACGACGTCAGGTGGTGGTTCGGCAGAGGTGAGGACCTTAGGTGGTGGTCCGGCTGAGCATACGACGTCAGGCGGTGGTCCGGCGGAGCAATGACATCAAGCGATGGTCCGGCGGAGGTTAGGGCCTCAAGTGGTGGTCCGGCGGAGCAACGACGTCAGGCGGTGGTCCGGCAGATGTAAGGATCTCAGGTGGTGGTCCGACGGAGCATACGACGTCAGACGGTGGTCCGGCGGAGGTGAGGGACTCAAGTGGTGGCCCGGCGGAGCAACGACGTCAGTCGGTGGTCCGGTGGAGGTGAGGGCCTCAGGTGAGGGTCTGACAGAGCAACGGCGTCAGGCGGTGGTCCGGTGGAGGTGAGGGCCTCAGGTGGTGGTCCGACGGTGGTCCGGCGGAACTCTGACGGTGGTCGAGGATCTTCTTCTTTCTCTTCTTCTCTTCTTGCTCTGGTCCCCTTTCAAGAGAAATGAGAGATCTATTTATAGATTTTCTGGAGTGGCATGACCCGTAAATAGGCAATAGATCAAGGGCAAACAAAGAGTGGTTGGATGGACGGCCGATATTGAATCCCTTGATCAAGCATCGTTCGTCACACATTTGAAGGCCTTAGTGATGTTGGAATTCAACGATCTTGGGCTCGTTGAATTCGTCTTGTTTAGCCGCTCGATTTGACTATAAGCTCATTACATTTGGAAACTGTTTGGTAACTCAAACAGTGGTACAAAGCTTCCAACAGCGCTTCGGGTTCTTGATTTGGGCTTGGATTGAGTCGAATTTGGTGTCGTTGGATTTGTTTTTCCGAGACGCTCAGTTTGATTATAAGTTTGTTGAACTCAGAGTTCGGATGGTCTTTGAATTAATTTAGGAAGTTTCCAACTTGATGTTGCTTCAAGATTCGCACCCGGTCAGGATATTTTTTTGAGGACGTATCAATAATTATAAATTGAAAAATAGTTTAAATCTTCCCATCTAACTATTTGATATTTTCATTACAAATATATATCTACGAATATACATAATTTTTAAAACTTGGAATTTATAAAAAATTTGTTACAATAACATACATATTACAACTAAGTTGCTATATTTGATTTACTCATAATATAGTTTTATGTAGAATAAATCATTATATCAAAATCTACCAACCTTTAGATACCATTGTCTAATAATACAGTATTATAATAAATATCAGAAAAAAAAAACAACTAATTATTAAATTCCTTCCAATTAATCTCAGTTTTACTTGACTTCAAGTAAACTACGAGACAGCTTCGTGTTCTCTCTTAGGGGTTGTTTGGTTAACTGAAAAGGAAATACAGTGTAAAGTAAATGCAATGTAAAGTAAATGTAGTGAATTCCGAATACTTTGAGTCTGTTTGGTTGTCTGCAAAATAAACGCATGAGAATTGTTTCCTTTGTTTGGTTAGGTTTATCCAGAGTAAAGTAAAAGCATTTTTCTTTTTTAAAAATTTATTTTGTTACTAAAACTAGTGTATTTATAAAATCAGTGTATTTATAATAATTAATATTATTTGGTGTTATAAAATAAAATCAATCTATTCATTTATTGCACGATCTTATTATAATTTGTTTTTATTATAAGATATAAAATTTTCCTGTGTATTAATTTAGCTGTGTGCAGTGGCGGAACCACCACTTGGTTAGGGGGGGCAATTGCCCCCCCTAACCAAGTGGTGGTTCCGCCACTGCACACAGCTAAATTAATACACAGGAAAATTTTATATCTTATAATAAAAACAAATTATAATAAGATCGTGCAATAAATGAATAGATTGATTTTATTTTATAACATCAAATACTATTCATTATTATAAATACATTGCTTTTATAAATATACTAGTTTTAATTAAAGAACAGCTCACCAAAAAACGGAAGAAACAAAGGTGCGTTCGGCCACCAGGAGCTTCCTATTTGATTCAGATCGCGAATATATTTACTTATTTATTTGATAATCTATTTCTTACTAGTATGATCAGAAAAGAAAGTTCATGAGTTTCCTATTTGAAAGTCGGCATAAAATTCTCAAAATTGGCGAACGTGTTCTCAAAAGGGATCCCAACTTGAAGCGACTGGAGGAGGCTGTGCAGAAACTTGATAAAGTTTCGGCAGATGTCACTAATTTCCTTTATCTTTTAGACAGCGCGAAGCAGGAACAGAAGGAGCAGGAGGTTGATTTCTACAAAACACGTGAAACAGGATATTTGCCTAAAAATGATCTCATCGGGCGGCTCAAGGAGAAGGAGCTTGTTATGGAGTGGCTGAGGAATCCATCAAATGAGCATCAGGGAACTGATTTGTACAGAAACATTTCTCTTCTATCTATAGTGGGCCATGGTGGTATGGGGAAGACAACTCTCTCGCAACATGTTTATAAAGATGAAATTACAAAGGACTTTGATCTTAAAATGTGGGTTTGTGTTTCCAATAACTTTGATTTGAAAAAAGTCATTGCAGATATGTTGGAATGTCTTAAGAAGGAGAGGCCTCGTTTGGAGACACTTGTGGCACTTCAAGGGCGTCTCGAGGAGGAGGTGCTGTCCAAAAAGTTCTTACTTGTGCTCGCCCCTCTAGCTTCTGGGGGTTTTGGTAGTAAGATTCTGCTAACAACTCGAACGGACTCAATTGCACTAATGTTTGCAAAGGTTCTTAAAAAGAAGAAGGAAATAGTTAAATTAGAGGGCCTAGAGGAAGATGAGTGTTTGCAGCCCCTCAACTCTCATGCATTTGCTGGTGTAGAGAATCACCCTGATGATGATCATAAAAAATTAAGAGCCATTTCTGGAGAGATAGTTAAAAAGCTTTCAAGATCTCCGTTGGCAGCTAAGGTCATTGGTGGTGTTCTAAATGACAACTTGGATGAAAGGCATTGGAGCACAGTTCTGGAAAGCAATTTATTGGATC